ACCTTTCATACTAAGCGGTAGCCATGTCATCTCCAATGGAGTTCAGCAGCTGACCAGACCCTGGGCTAGGCTTGCGGCACACCAAAGCCGTGCGAAGTAGCGTCTGGACCACAGGATGGTTAGGCCTCTGCAGGTGCCCCAATCCCACAAAAGATGAAGAGGCATCAATCCCCAACAAAAGATTGCTGACTCCAGCCCAGGAGCACTCTGAGCACTCTAGGAAAGCAGCAAGGCCACGGATGCCTTCCTGCAGGAGGGTCAATGATTCAAAGAGCTGCAGCTTCTGAGCATCGGAAAACTTCTGAGGACGCTTGGGCCCTAAGTTGTGGGGAGCCAAGTTCACATACAAGGTCGTAAAAATGCTGATGGCAAGGTATTGCAAGGATCGTCGAACCCCTCCTGTTTACTCTCATGGTCTGTCTGGGAGATGCAAATCTTGTCCAAGAACCTTGGCTTCCAAGCGCCGCTCGCACGCGTGAGCCAAGGTATACACGTGTATATGCAAATACAAAGGCACACGCATACTCGTGTGTTTCGCGACCCAAGAAACACCAAGATGGGCCTCCCAAAGAAGGCGCGGAGGTTTTGCCAAGCAAGAAGGACCACAAAGTAGGTCAGGAAGCCGAAGATAGCCGTCCAGCGAGCAACTGGAAGAAGCCTTCTTTTTGAAGTCTGGGTAGTTCCCGAAATTCGGGTCCCATACTGGTACACCTAAATATTAGGTCAAAGGTGCCGTAATGTACTCTGTAACCGAAAGGACCCATAGCTTAACATGGATGAAAGGTCTTTTTGGCCTGTAGACATGTGTGTGGGACAGCCCCTCCAGAGTCTTGTCAGGATCGGTGCTGCCCGCTTTGGCCTCAAAGCTTTGTGATTCGCCTGCCTCGGCCTCGACGCTGACTCGACTCTTCGAAGCTGACTTTGTTTTTGTTTTCGGTGTTTGGCTGCTGGGCTTGTGCAGCCTGCCGTTACTCTACCGTGCCCCGTTTACACAGGCATGGCATGCGTCGGCTGGCCTCAGGCTGCTTGCTGGCGCCAGCACCCAAGCCGTAATAACTCGAAGCAATGCCAGTGCAATTATCAAAACCGTTTGGGCTGATAAGAGGGTGTGGCCGATATTGGTCCCCCAATTCCCGAGCAGATTTTTGTCCCGGGTTGGAATGCTTAATCTGAATACGGGCACAAGCGGGCCCTTACTCGGGGCGTCAGGCTCCCTACTATTGGATGCTAAGGGGAGTGGCAATTGAAGAAGGTGCAACGTCAAAAGGTTTTGAGGCTGAGAAGGCAGATAAGGTTTATTCCTGGCATCTGAACAGGCCAAGCATGGGCAAGCCAAGTGGCCCAAGGGTCGCAAGGAGCCCCGCGAACAAACTGATGCACAGAGATGCCAGGCCTGCAGCCCTGGAGTTGAAGCGGATCGTTAGACTGACAAACCTCGGCCCATATCAGGCAGGGAGGCTGACAGCACAGGAATGGGATCAGGCTGGTGCTAAGTGTTTTCGACAACGCCTGGACGGCGTGCTTCACTGGGAAGACCGGGAGAGTCAGTTAGCTCTAGTATTTCTAGTTCTAGTTTGTCCAAGGAGCTTGACCCAGCGCGATGTGCCCCAGTCATGGCTAAGGAAGTGGTCGATCTGAGACGTCCTCCACGGCAGTGCGAGTGAACCCGTATCTCTTCTTTCATCACTCTGCTTGCTTTGATGCGTAGACGTACCCCTGCTTGTGAAACATGTGAGATGCGAATTGCCAGGCGTAAAACATCGCTTTCATCACATCTTCAAGACCCCGAAGTTCGAAGTTCCTAATTCCAAGATATTCCAAGATTCCGGTCCTCTGGCTGAGCTCGTAGGCTGACTCTGCACGCTCCGAGCTGCTGCTGGCCCAGTGCTTTCCCATGCCCTGCAAGCAGACCTTGCCAGGAGGTATCGAGAGGGTTACTGTAGGATTGGCCAGAGAAGGAAATCAAGGTGAAGCCTAAACATTTCGCGGCAGAAGCGGTAGCGACGCTAGACTTGCAAGACATCTGTGCGCATGATAGGAATGGTTGCCACATCTAGCTACAGCTTGTCAACTCAAACAGCCTGTTCCATCAAATGCAGAGCGGCTTGCAGAGGCACACAGCGGAGAAGCTCCGGAGCAACTTTCGTGGAGAGAGCCATTGTTCTGCGGACTGTCTGTCGCAATAATGCCCCATCAACTTCTGCTGGAGCCGCAAAGCTTGGCGTTCATGAGTCCAAAGTGCAACTGGCACTCAACTGGCTTCACCCCTCGGTCCCCTACTTAAGGGGAGAGCACATTAGCCTCATTGGCACTTGAGGGACTTGTGGCCACCCATTCTGCTTTCTTGGAAAGAGCGGATTCTGAAAATGAAAAACCGAAGTGTTGGTATGTACTTGCTGACCCTTCAGAGAGCGAAGCCAGCAAGCCATCAAAAATGATTTACTTCGAGCATCCCAACCCTCAAGCCGTTATTGCACAAGA